GAGGAGGAGGAGGAGGAGGAGGAGGGACAAGGAAATAGGGCGATGAAGCAGGAGGGATGTGGCGAAGGAGGAGGAGGTGCAGGAGGAGGAGTAGGAGGAAGAGGAGGAGTGGCGAGGAGATGAAGGAGGGAGGAGGAGGAGGAAGAGGAGGAGGATGAGGAGGAAGAGGAGGAGAAGGAAAAGTGAACGGTCCGATCGTCCCATCGTCTCCAGGGTTGGTAATGCCACCGGTCCTCCTATGAGCAGTGTTTGTTTTGCCGCCTTTGACTTGCCACCAAGGCGGCTGCTCAGCTAGAGGTTCTCCAATGGTATTGCCTGACTTAGGTGTTCAAGAGAAGGTTAGACAAGTCCGTGCTGCTGGCGGCGCTTAGATGCAAGGAAGCACAGACGACGCGGTGCGAACGTTCTTCCGTCGAGGTTCCCAAGGTACAAGTTGACGATGGCAAGTGGCCTAAGATCAAGAGGGCACAATACCTTCGGGACCATGGCTTCCGATAGTGGCGAGTGGCATCTGGAGTCCCAAAACAGGGTGACGCCCATGCGTGGGGCACTGACCCCTTCGTAGCGCACAATGACCGCGACTCGACTCGGATTGTCTCCTTGCTCTGTCCAAGTTATCTTTTGATGCTTGGGTGTGGCCTCAGTTGCCCAAGGCTGACGCCACGTTCAAGGCGACCCACACCCAGCTGCACCGAGCCAGGGCCAACCATGCTGAGGCCCAGGATTCGACGGCTGCGGTGATGCATATGGTGAATCGACCATGTGCTGCTACGCTCCTCTCTCCCGCGAGGCACCCAGATCTACTTCGTGACCGGCGACAGCCTCGGCGGCATCGGGGTCTTCTTCCGGAACGGCGAGCCGAGCCACGCGTGCCGCGCCGATCTTCCCCCTCCATTTGTTTGTTCCTCCCCTTGCCCTGGCATCCCCCATCCCATCCCTCCTCATCCTCCTGCTCACTCTTTCTTCCTCGTCGTCCTTCCCAGGAGTCCCAGAACTGCCACAAGCTATCCGTGGTGATATTCACAAATTCATGTGGCAAGGCGGGCTGGGTTCCGACGTCAACGACGTGATCCTGTATGTTATTGGGGTGCAGTTTGGCAAGAATTGCTAGGGGGATCCTGCCGTGGCGACGAGAGCCCTTCCTAAGGACCAGAAGAAAGCGAAAACATTCGATTCCCGAACCTCGATGCTCGTCCCGCTCCCTCTCACCCTCCTTCCCTCCTCCCCTCCAACCAGGAGGGGGAGGGATGCATGGGGAGGGGGAAGGAGGAGCCTGCATCCCCTCGCGTCGAGGTTCCTCATCTCCCCCATCTTCAAGGGCAGCGTCAGGGGGCGATAGGCTCACAGGAGGATGCATCGACCCCCCTTCGCCCGGTGATCGCCGACAGGGGCCTGGTTGCCCACCCCGCCAAGGAGCGTGTGGATGGGCCATCGGGGGCCCATCGCCGACCTATCGGCGATGTATCGCCGACCCCAGGTCGATGTTGTCCTCCCTGCCCGCTCTGGGCCAGGCCAGTCCCCCCTCCCTCCTTCTTCGAACGTGCGAGCATACGAATCTCCTTTCCCCCACCCCTCCTCGATCGCCTTCCCCATACCGTGGGCCGCCGCATCCGCGCAGGCACGCTCAAGGGCCGCGCCCGCGTCACAGAGGACCCGGGTGGGGTGCGCGGCCTGATGCGCAGCCAGGCCACCCCCCCTCTGTCCGCCCTTCGCCGCGAGTCTTCGAGGTTTGAGGTCGTCGTCGGAGAAGAGGAACACCATGACCCTCCGCGGGTGGCCTGAATCTGCTTGATTCGAGACAGAATTGCAAAACAGAAGTTTGGAGATTTGAGGTTCTTACCGGAGAGTACACGGCGGGGCTTCAAGATTTGAGGTTCTTGGGTGCATTTTGGTATCCTTTTTGGGAGGCTCACGTTGGCTCCTCCGCGCCACTGTTGGATTCCCCTCGGCACTCTGGCCGGGACACACCCTGGGACACGTCCGAGAGGGCTCGCAGGAAAAGGAGTCGTGGAGCAGAGGGTTCCTGCAGATTTTTCTTACAGATTTCCGGCTCCCTATCCTTGGGCCCTCCTTGGGCCCAGGGCCGTCAAGAGACAGCTCGGGGTGAAAAGCTGGCCCAGGAAGGGGAGGAGGATCGAGGGGGATGAGCAGGAGGAGGCAGGCCACTGGTTGAACCCAGTTCAGTGGCTGAGGCGGCATGTGTTTGGAGGAACGCCCACAATGGGCGTCAACTTGGCCAGGACATTTCGTTCGCCGAAACGAAAGACATGTCAACTCGGCCCCAAGCATTTGTTCGTTAAGACGAACGCAGTCGTCAATTCAGCTCTTGCGCCTCGTTCGTCAAGACGAGAGGAGCCGCCAAGTCGGCCACGACATTTCGGTCGTCAAGACCGACGTCGTTTTTAACCGCCTGCTGGGCCCCGACACTTTGTTCGTCAAGACGGATGGTGCTTCAAGGGGGCCGTCAACGGCGTTCGTCAATTTGGAGGGAGGCCGTCACGGGGGACCGACGGAGGTCGTCAATGGGGCCCGCCCAAGGGGTTCATCAATTCGGAAGTGGAGCGAGTATTTTTGGCCACCCGTCGTGACGCCCATGCCCACTTCCAGACCAGCCTCCCGCGGCAGACTCAAGCCACATGCGGGGTTCATCCCCCGCAGTCGCCCGCGCGCGCCGCGCGCCGGGCGGGCCGGCCTCAGCCCCAGATCGCGGCCGCTCACTACGGCCGCAACGACGCTCAATGGCACGAAGGTGTCCAGCCGCGACTACACCAGCACCCACCAGTTGATGAATTACAGGGCGGTCGCCTTCTCAACATTACCTCAGGGCTACGAGACCCACCCACATTGGTGGAGACCTACCAGAATGTTTGCCGAGACCATTCACGCATAGGTGATCACGGGCACGGGCAGGCGAGGCCCAAAAGCGAACGGGGCACAATGTCCGACATAGGATCCCGCCCCGATCCAGAGACATCATGATCATTGCCCCGGCCGCCCTCGCAAAGGCGCCCAGGCACGGGCTTCGTAACAGGCAGGCCAAGTACGAAAACCAGCTTCGTAACAGTGTTCCCGAATACGAGAATGCGCTGGGTAACAGGCAGCCCGAGGACCAGATGCACCGCCAGTACGACATCAAGAACGCCGCCCAAATCAGCATCAGGCGCGACGCGACTGATCAGCCCGAAGGGGTTATTGAATACGTTCGTCGTGGAGGTACCGGTGGGGAACGGCCGCGCCGCTTACGACGAGTACTATTACGGGGCCTATTTATAGCGGGCACGGCGAGCATTGCGGCTACGACGAATACAGCGCAGACGGGCCACACGCAGTTGCGACGCTTACAAGCAACATCGCGAAATCCACAATCAGAGCTGCCAGAGCAAGTTGCAACGCGACGTGGGCCACCAGCATGTTACGAGGGCTAGAAGCAGAGCCCCGAGGACCACCCGCTGGCGCTGGCGCTGCAAGGTCCACCGGCAGCGCTTCGAGAACTACCAGCTGCGACGCGAGGGCCGCCGGCAGAGTCTCGAGTTCCTTCGGCCGAGCGTCGAGGATCACCAGCTGTGGCACCAGGGCCACATGCCGAGCTACCTGGGCGCGTCCAGCAGGATATGTCGAATAACTCTGGCACCCCGAACGTGGAATGCCGTGTTTCGGCAGCCGAGAACTCCGACTCTGGCCTCGTGGTCTCCGACGTCCAAAAAGGCGTTTAGTTGGGCGCGTTCCTAGACGGCCTCCTTGGTCAGGTGCGCGACCGCGAGGAGGGCATCCAAGCTGCGCGGCGAGGGCCGGCGGAGCTCCGGCGACTAGCAGAAATAAGGAGAGGCCCCAGAGAAGCTCAGGGCCACCAGCCGCGCTCGAGGGCCACAGGCAGAGGTGCGATACCCATCGGCGGAGATACGAGAGCCGAATGCAGGGCTAAGAGGACCATTAGCAGAGCCGCAGGAGGAAGAGGGGACGACGGAGGATGAGGAGGTGCATGGCAGTAGGAACCGACAACTTGTTTAAATTGGGTAGGGCTTCCTGCGGGCAAGAGATCCATGGAGCCCGCCCTCAAGGCCTGAGCTGGGATTCCCATGGGGGCCCTGGCAGCTGAAGACGAATGGTTACCAGCTGAGTTATGCGTGCCGCGAGCAGCGCTACGAGGACCACCAGGCTTTCTACCAGAGCCACCAGCTAAGCTACCGAGGTCGCGAGCAACGTTCCGATGGCCACCGTCAGAGCCACGACGCCCCGACCTCCGTCGCTACGAGGAGCGCAATCTCAGTTCCCAGGGCCACAAACATAATTGCTACATCCACGCTCAGAGCTAGCAGGAATACTGCCAGTCCATCGAGCGCCGCGAGCCGAGTCACGAGGTCCACAGGCGCATGCACGAGAGCCGCGTCCAGAGTTTCGAGGGCCGCGAGCTCAACCACGAAGGCCACAAGCAGGGCTGCGAGAACCGCCAGCTGAGCCACGAGGGCTGCAAGCTCGGCTACGAGGGCCACGAGCAAAGCAACGAGGGCCGCCCGCTGCGTCGCCGGGGCAACAGGGCGAGCCTCGATAGCTGCAAGCAGAGCGACGAGGACCGCCGGCCGATTTGCCAGCGGCACCATATCTGCTTCGTAAGCAGCAAGCAGCCCTACTACAGCCACCCGCAGCGCTACGAGGGCCACCGGCGGATCTTCTAGGACCACAAGTTGAGCTACGAGGGCCGCGAGTAATAATTTTACAGCCACCAGCAAGGCTACCAGGGCAACGAGCTGCGCTGCAAGGATACAGCGCCGACCTTTGGCTACGAGGGCAGAGTGCCCTGCTGCGATGGCTACGGTTTGAGCCTTCAAAGCAACATTTTGAGCGACGGGTCTCTCCTGCAGAGCTACCAGGGCGAGAAGCTAAACCGCGGGGATGCGGGAAGTATTTGCGACAGCCACCAGCTCAGCTGCTACGATGGCCACCTGCTGAGCAACGGGGGCCACAAGTTGAACTACGCGGACCGCAAGCAGAGCTACGAGCGCCTCCTGCAGAGCTACCAGGGCAACGAGCTCTTGCCGCCAGCTGGGCTACAAGCTGCGCTACGAGGGCCGCAAACAGTGGCGCGAGATCCACCGAGAGCGCTATCTGGGCCACTTTTTTTTTCTCCTGGGTCTGGCAGCAGAGTTACTGGGCCACGGGCTGAGTTGCAACTCTCACGATCTGCGCTGAGGAAGCCGCGCGCAAGGCCACGGGCGCCACCGGCTGAGCCACCAGGGCCAGCCGCTGCATTGCGAGGGCCACGAGACGAACGCTAAGGCTCACAGAAGACATGGACAAACAAAAAGCCGATCGTTGTGTGAGGCATTGTGGAGGGTAAGTCGGGTAGAGAGTGCTGCGAGTGCACGGCGTTGGAACTCGCCGCCCAGGAACTGAATGTCCTCTGGGCCGGCGGCGCGGAGGACAGCGCCCCTCGCTACTTCGTCCGTGCGAAGCCACAGGAAGAGCCAAGAGGTCCACAAGTGTGAAGGCCCAGTTAGGTGACCCCCCACCGCAAGTTTCGTTCAGTGCGTCGCCCGTGTGCCAGCCTGGGTTTGCGTCTCTGTCCCTATTCCCTGCGTCCCAGAATGCGTGGGCGACGCGCGGGGTGACTTCGGCATTTCGTTGGCGGCGTATTGTTTTCCGACGCTGGTGCAGCAGCAGCCAGCTTGGTGTCCGCGGAGCATTGTAGTTCGACGGTTCACCAACCTGCTATGTTTCCCCCATCGGCGCAAAATCATTCGCAGGTGCGTTTGTTCGGGGAGCGCCAACCGCAACTGAGGACGAAGACGCATCGCGTTGATTAGGGGTCGCGCGCGTCGTGCCATGGACGGGGTCACGTCGGGTCGTGCGACGCGGTGTCACTAGGCCCCGCCACATCGCGCCCCGCGCTCCCATGTTGGTTCGCGCCAGTCCTCTCGCACCTCCCCCTCTCCCGTCTTCCTCCTCCTCGTCGAGTGCGCTACGCGTCTGGTCCCGTGTGCGAAGTTATACATACTTTTGCATGTCGTTTTGCCGTCCTTTCTCCATGCCTGCTTTCCCCCCAGTCCTTCCACCCTCCTGAGAGGTAAGGATCTGGAAACCGATCCTCCGGATTGTCCGTGCTTGTTCTTTCCATTTTCGCAGACGATGCGGGGCATAAGCGGGGGATCGGACGCGAAGATCTGAAAGCCCATCCGCCAAATTATCCGCGCATCTTTTTCCTTATCATCCTTTCCTGAGGGGGAACGACGCAAGGATCCTCATTATTCCCATCGGCGATGTGGTTCGCTGTGGGGCCCGATGTTTGCCATGCTGACGTCGCAGATGCATCGCTGACGTTGCTGATGCATCGGCGATGCGTTGCGATCCTCCGACACCATCTACTCGGACCTTCTTTTCGGAGGTTTCCACACGAGACGCGGGGGGGAGGAGGACGACGACGACGACGAGGAGGGGCAAAAGGAGGAGGAGGAGGAGGAAGATAAGCAGAAGGAGGAGGAGGAGGAGGAGGAGGAGGAGGAGGAGGGGCATGATGAGGAGGAGGGGCAGGAACCCACGCACCCAGGGGCAGAGCGTGCTTTATTCGACCGCCTGCGGCAGACCTCGCCGCCACACCCGCGAGGCAGCGCGAGCTGAGGCCCAGCTCGACGTGCAAGGGAACGCAAACAGAGATTGCGGCGCGGGGTTAACAACGGGCCCCGCTTTCGTACAGAATCGGCGCGTTCTGCTGCTCAAATCGGTTGGCACTGGTCTCATGTTTCGGGGGGTATGTTCCCCGATCTGCGAATCGGGCGCTCATGCGCTAGATCCGTGGATCTCTAATCCATGTTAGCGTGTGCCTGAGATTTGGTGTCTTGTCACAACAGGCACGCGTTTGAAACACGCACTCGTCGGCCGTGGCCTCGTTTCCCAGTTCTTCCACATGATGGCCTTTGGGAGTGGGGGCTGGGCGTCTTCGGGCCTTGTGGGGCCTCTCAGGGCCCTTCTGAGCCTCGAGGGGAGCCGTTTGGGGCCCGTCGGGCGTCACGGAACCGTTTTGGGTGCGATGTTGGGGACGCACGGGGCGGGTGTTGGTGTCGTCTTGGAGCCCTCCCAGGGGAGCGGGGGGCCTCGCATGTCGTGGGGGATCCTCGAGCAGTCTTCGTGTTCTCTCGAGGCGTCTGGAAGGTCTCCCTGGGCACCCTGGGGCTTCCCCGAGGCGGCCTGCAGCTGAGCTTCTTCGGAGGCAAATAGTACGGATGCGCCCACTGTGCTGCGCTGCTGCTCGCATCTCCGTGCCTCGCTGGAGGCGTCTTTGGGCCTTCGAAGGGGGGCTTCTCGGGGCTTCTGGGAGCCTGCTGGAGACGTCTCGGAACCTTTGGGGGTTCGCTGGGCCGCCTTCGGCTGGGCTTGGGGCACCTCGCAGCTGCCTCGGAGCGACCTTGGGCCGTCTGGAGGCCGAAACGGACGCCCGCTGGCAACACTAGGGGGCGAGTTTGCGGACGATGGTCGCGCTGGAGGCTGGGGCGCCCCTGGGATATCATACGTAAGCAACAGCCGACGGCGTACGCCGGTCGCTGGAAGCAGCAAGCACGCCCGGGCTCCCGGCCTCCACACCACCTCCGGCGCATCCCTGCGTCAACCATCGAGGCAGCTTCCCCAGTGCCCTCCCTCCTTCTGGGGGCCGCGCCGAGGCCAAAGCTGCTCTGATCGGTGGCGAGCCCATGGGGGCACCCAGAAGGCCTGCCCCCTCCTCACTGCCCCATCAGGGGCTCGCCGGCGATTTAGACGCCTTGCGTTCCTGCCCCAGTCGTCCGAGCGGCCCGTGTCAGAGCATCTGACACCGCACGATCGCACACGCGCGGTGGTGGATTACAGTTCGCACTCCTTCGGCTTCTTCTCCGTGACGCAGATCGACGTCCAGTGCCCTAGGGGCGGCCAGGGGGCCTCCTCCTCCCCTTCTCCTCGTCCTTGAGCTCACCCGGACGAGGAGGACGGAGGAGTGAGAAGGAAGATGTTACTACGCAGGAGGTCTTCGGAACTCCCTCGGCGAGCATCAGTCCCGGATTCTGCCACGCCTCGTCCCCCTCCACGGCCCGCTTCCTCTTCTCGGCGGCGGGCCCAGGGGAGAAAAAAGAGGGGGCAGACGTTCTCAGAAGGCGGCGTGGCTTCTCAGAAGCCCTCGGGCCTTTCAGACGTGTCTTCGGAGAGGGCCCAGAAAGTTTCTCGGAAAGCTGGAGGCCTTCTGAGCCTTCCGAGAAGCCCCGCCCCCTCTGCCTGCCCCCGTGGGCTCGCCGCCATTCCTCGTCGTCCCGCCCCCCCCTTCTCCCGCCCCCCCCTTCTTCGTCCTCCCGCCTTCCTGCGCCTCGTCCCCCCTCCTCGGGTTCCTGCCTGTGCACCGCTTCTGTGGCGTTCGGGCCATTATTGGCACAGCGAGCGAGCCTTCAGGCGATTTCGTCGCACCACCTCCCGCCCCCATCTCTCCTCGTCCCCCCGCCCCCGCACGCACCATCGAGGTGCGCGGGACGGGGGCATTAGGGAGACCGGCTCGGTCCAGCCGTTGGTGGGGCAGTCGAGCGCGACGAAAGGGGGGAAGGGGACGACACGGGGGTCCGAAGGGAAGGTCGAGCGAAGGACCGAAGCCAGCGCAGGAGGGCCGCCCCCATCTTTCCTCGCCCCCCCCCCATGACTTCTGCTCGGCACCCGAGCCCGGGCGCCAGGCCCCCTGCGCCCGGGGCGAGGTACCCGCCCTGCTCTGGCTGGAACTCCCCCCTCGTCGACGTCGTGGCGGACCCGAGCTACGCGTGCGCCCCCCGCCCCTCGGGGGCAGCGTCGGGGGGGGAGGGGGGGGCTCGGGTTTGAGGAGGAGGCGGGAGGATGCGGGCGAAGAGGAGAGGCAGGACCAGCAGCTGGAGCAGGAGGAGGAGGAGGGAGGACGCGAGTAGGAGGAGGAGGAGGAGGAGGAGGAGGAGGAGAAGGAGGAGGAGGAGGAGGAGGAGGAGGAGGAGGAGGAAGGAGGAGGAGGAGGAGGAGGAGCTACAGTCAGGACGCTGACACGAGGACCACTCTGAGTTCCGGAGGGGCTCTGCTCTTCGGGCCGTGCCTGTTCATGACCGTGGCGCGCCTTTGGCCTGGAAATCCCACTCGTTCCTCGTCCAGCGCTCCTTGTCCTCGTGGTAACTGGCTCGATTCCTATAGGTTACCCGAGGGGGCGCGGAGGTGACCACGCTTCGCGCGCCTGGGGCTGGGTTGAAGACTGTTGGAGAGGCGCCCTTCTCCAAGGCGGCGGCGCGAGGGCGCGAAGATAAGCGCGCATCGCAGGACGCGAAGGGCGAACTTGGGCGGCTCAGGGAAGATTTTTCCGCCTCTGGATGCCTTCCAGCAGCTGCGCCTCGTCGAGAGGCGCCGGGAGCGTCCCAGATTGTCCCGAACGGACGCCGCAGACCCGAGTTAGGGCCCGAAAGGCCGGCGACGAGGATCTTTCCCACCTCCCTCCTCCCTCTTCCCTCTTCCCTCCTTCCTCCTCCCTCCTCCCTCTTCCCTCCCCCCTCCCTCCCTCCCTCCCTCCCTCCCTCCCTCCCTCTCCTCCTCCTCCTCCTCCTCCTCCTCCTCCTCCTCCTCCTCCGCTCTCCTCCGTTCTCCTCCTCCGCCTCCTCCTCCTCCTCCTCCTCCTCCTCCATTCCTTGCCCTAAAAATAATTCCTCCCTGTCGCACCCCGAGGCCGGTCGAAAATGCGGCCCGGGCGTTGCGCCCGAGAGTGCCTCGCCATTTATGATTTCGAAGCTTACAGCATGACAACAGCTTCTCACATGGGGGGCAGGCGGCTTTCAGCATGTGGCTCTCACCTTAGCACCGCGCACATTCAGTTTCAAAGTTTGCAAGAGTTGCATGGATTGAGGTCAACGAGGACAAATCCACCCCGACCCCCATACTCGGCGTTTACTGTTTACTAAACGGCTCCGTGCGTTAACTAAACAGCGTTTTCTTGTTCGATTCCTTCGTCGGGTGCGTTTACTAAACGGTTACGTTGTCGGGGTGCTTATGATGAAGGCGTGCGGTTTTCATAATGTTATTTGCGCTTAGCGCCGCGCACATTTGTTTTCCGAATTTGCAAGTGTTTCGCTGATCGTGGGCGGTGCGGTTTCAAAATGTGGCTCGCGTCTCGGCGCCGCGCACGCTCGTTCTACACATCTGCAAGAGTTTCACGGATTCCCAGCGTCAACGTGCCACCAATAGTGTTTTGAAAAGGAATCGGGGTTGTGAGGATGTAAGATTTTCGTTGATTCGCAGTGTGAAGTCCCAGGAATGGTGTTCTGGCATGGTGCATGGTTCAGGATCGTCAAGACGTAACAGCCAGGTTGATCCGTGGGGTTGGCATTATGAGAATGGTGTTTTGGCATGCCTCAGGGTCTTCAAACGGTCTCCCAACGAGGCAGTTCCCTCAGTGGAAGTGAACCTCTTGTAGGGGCCTACAAAGAATGAGCTTGGAGGGAGGGTTTATTCCAACATCGTTGATGCGTCATGGGTTTGCTCTGGTCGTCGTCCTCATCCTCCTCCTCCGTAGCCATTTTGGCTCAAGGTGTATTGTTCCCGCGTGCACAAAAAGGATACCGCTAGTCCGCGGCCAGTATTCACTTTCCTGCGCAGTTTGCCTTGCGCGTGCATCTGCCTGCCACCCAAGGGGGCTGCAGGCTCCCGTTGTATGCCAGAACTCCTGAAACTAAAGGTGCAGGTGCGTCTCCATGGTGCCAGCTCCGTGGCAGCGCGTGGCGACAGAGGAGGAGCAGGCCAGGCAACCGTGGGCTCCTGTGCTTTATGGAGGGGCTGAAGCGGGACATTTTCGCGCTCGTGCTGATCGCCTCTACAGTTGCTGCGCCTGTGGCCACTGGGCGTGGAAGGACCTCCTGACCAAGCGTGACTATGTGTGCGTCGGCTGCAAGGGCTCCTGCAAGACGAGGGCCATTTGGGTGACGGCAGTGGGGGCGTCGGCTCCCGTCAGCAGCACCACGGGGGGAGCGATGCGTGAAGGCCCCAGGGAGGACGCCTCAAGCAGCAGCCTCCTTGGGCTGAACCTGTGGCATCCACGCTCCCGGACGACACCCTTGCTATTGTCCATGGGGCAGCCTCCAAGTTGCCGGCAGTTGAGGCTCAACGTTCGCTGGCGCCTTTCCTGCCTAAGCCTGTGCCTGTGCCCAGCTTCTCGCCGCAATTCGGGTTGCAGCGATCCGTTCAGGCTAAGAAGGGTTCCCACGAGAAACTCGAGAAGGCGTTAGCTCGCAGGGCGGTGCTCGATAAGGAAGCCGACGAGTTCGACGCTCACCTGCATGACCTCATGACGAAGGATATGTCCAATCCCGAGGTGCCGGCGCAGGCCACCAGGATCATGGCGAGTGGGGTCTTCAAGCAGCCAGAGGCGCCCGATGGAGAACACAATCGACCTTGATGCGCTGTTCAAAGACTTTGCTGACCAGTTGTACTTGGATGTCGGAGATGAGCTTGACGTCTCGGGGCCAGCGTTCAGTTGGGAGGATCGTGGCGGCTTCGAGGCCTTCAAGGTCTAGCAGTCAAAGATGGTCACCGCGCTCCTCCACGCTGCCCCCACGCCGATCAAGACGCATTACCTGGAGCATTTGGGCGAGTATGAGAAGCGCATGGGCGAGATGCGCAAGAAGCGCAAGACCGACACGGGTGATGCGGCACAGGTGTGGCTGAGCCAACGGAATTTTCAACGCTTGCGGCTTCCCGGGAGCCTGCTGGGACTCCCGCGGCCGCTGCATCCCAGGCCTCGGGCTCGGCCGATAAACGAAATCCGACGAAACCCAGCGCGTCGGCAAGGCGCGCGCTGCGACGGTTGGGCGGTTCAAAGCTGCGGCGGCCAAGGCCGAGCAGCATGCGCCAGGTCGGAGGTTCAACGTCGCCACCCTGGAGGAATGGCCCTCGCGCAGAGGGAGTTCTCCTAGCTGTCCAAGTTTGGCCTCGTCGTGCTCAATTTCGCCAGTTGCGCTGGTCACATCGGCGGCGGGGTCCTCGCTCAGGTGCGCGCGGCTTGCTTCGGACACCCGCTCCGATTCTCCTTCCTCTCCCCCTTGCCCAGCAGGATGGCCGCTCCAAGGGCGGCGACCTGCGTCGCGGTCGAGGGCGGCGATCTGCGGTCATCGCCCGAGATAGCATCGACGGCCCTCGCAGCGCCAAAGCCGCAGTCGATGCGACACAAGGGGGCCGCCTCGCGACGGGTGCACGGGGCCTACTGGCCCCACTTCCCCCCCCGCCACTTCTCCTCGGTTGCGTCGACCTGCTGCGCGTCCTCGGCCGCGCCGGCCTTGCCTGCGCTCTACGTTGAGTGTGCCGTCTACGGCCGGATCGCCCTTGTCACATGGCCTCGGGGCGTTGTCTCTGCCCGCTGACTGGCGCCGGCCCCGGCGGGCGCGCGACGTGGGAGGCGCCGCCAGAGACGGGGCGGGCCCTTGCTCAGTGGGGCACAGACCGCGAAGCTGCGCGGTGGCCAGCCTACTTCCAGCTTGGTCGGGTGCCACGTGGCTTCCACTGCGGGTTGCGCTTTCCCGCCTGTATCTATGGCGCCGCCTTTTTCCAATTGGGATGGGCGCCATGCGGCCCCGGGCGGAGCTCGGCCTATTCCCGGGATGGGCGGGCGCGACGCGGTCGACTTGTCGGAGGCCCCCCAGTGGCTGGAGACGCCGAGGCGTCGCCAGGGGAGCCCCTGGTCGCGGCGGAAGCGGCAGCGGCGCCGCCGCGGGCGTCGTCTGGGCCAGGGAGGTGCTGCGCGCCAGAAGCTGGGACCCCTCTTCCCCGCAGCGCGAGGTGGGGCGGGGGGAAGGTGGAAACTGGTCTGGGTCGCGCGGTGGGCGCGGGCCCAGTTGTTTCATGCAACCCCGCGCCCATCCCGCGGGTGGATCTCGCCGCGCCGCGAGGAGTCTGCCAGCTCGAGAATACAATCAGGGGGCGCCCGTTGGACTTGATGATGCGTTGTTTTTATTTTTGCGCTGCGCCCGCAGGCTGGTGGGCTGCCGGGCCCCAGGCGGGGTTGGGGCCGAGCTATTTCCAACATTAGACGCCCAGCGCTGTTGCCTACTTCCAACGTGGATGGTTCGGCGCTGCGTCGTTCCAGCTGCAGAGGGGCGCCCGCCGGATTATGCGATGTGCCGAGGTATCATTCTGCGCGCGCGCAGGCTGGTGACCTGCCTACTTCCACTTGATCCTGGGGCCGAGCTATCTCCAGCGTTTGGCGCCCAGCGCTGCAGCCTACGTCCAACGCGGGCGGTTTGCCGCCAATGCCGCAGGCCGCCGACCCCAGGAAGCCCCAGGCGGGGCAACGCTTGGCAGAATCGGCTGCCTGCTGCTGTTAGACACTCCCGATCCCAGGAAGCCATGGCTTGGAGAACGCCCGGTGGCGTTGGGGCGCGAGCCTAAGGGAACGCCGGGTAGCATCGGCGGCTCGGCGCTGGCACGACGCACCCGATCCCAGGAAGCCCTGGGCGGGGGGGCGCCTGGTAGAATCGGTGGCCTGGCTGCTGATAGACGCCCCCGACCCCAGGGGGCTCCAGATTGAGGGCCGCCCGGTAGCATCAGGGTGCAAGCGCCGCTGGCTCAGGGCGATGGCGCCGGAGGCTGCCGATGCCAGCGAGCCCCGCCATGGGGAACATCTGGTAGCATCGGCGGCCCGGCGCCTGCGAGGCGCGCCCGACCCTGGGAAGCCCCGCCATGGGGGGCGCCCGGTAGCATCGAAGCCCCGGCGCCCTCGGCGCACGACAATTCCGAGGGGCGGCGAAGTGATTCGGGCAGGGGGGGGGCCAGCTCGCCGAGCACCTGGGCCCCGCCCCGGAGCCAGGGGCAATCCTCTGATCGCCCCAGTTGCTGATGCGGTTGTCTGCGGGTTGGAGTGCATCATCCAGGACCCTCAGTTGAGTGGGGTCGTCTCGCCTGCCGATGGAGGCCCCCTGGCTCGCCAGAGCCTGTCGCCGCTGGATAATTGGCGCACCGTGGGCCTGTGTCGAGATGCGCTCGCGCGCCTGGCCAGTCGCTGAATTGGGAAGAGGCTCGAGTGGCAGCCAGGTCAGTGGAGGCCTTCCCGCTGGTGACAGCCATGACATGGACCTGATGGGGGGCTCCACCCTCTCATTCGCGTGCTCCAGCATCAGCGTTTGGGGCCTTGCTGCGTCTCGGCGGGCCGCGGCGCGCCCCGCTGGTGCGATCATTTCTTTTGGGCACAGGGCGCGGGGCAGCAGGTCCCAAGGCATCGCCAAGATGTGCCGCGAGCTCGGCTGGGGGGTCCTGGCCCAGACTGCGCGCGCTACGGGTGCTGACGGCGCTCCTTCTGGGGCCATGGTCTGCACGAGATCCCACCTTGGGCGATCGCAGCTTGCGCGCGAGGCTGGAGAGTGAGCGGCCGTTGGCACATCGAGGTGGCTTTTTCTGCACATTGCGATTAAAAGTGGTCTCGCTCACGACCGCCCCAGTGCACCTGCGCGCGGGTGGCCACATGAATGGTGAGAGCCTGCAGTTGCCCGTCTGAGCGCTGCTGGAGTCCCAGCCATTTGGTAGGTGACTGGCATTTTGACCAGACAGTGCTAGAAGCTTCGAGGTGGCTGGGGCCCCATCGGCACCATTCCTGTTCCGATTCCTGGGGTGTCGGTCACTTGCGCTGGGGTCGCGACCAGTCGGGCCGATTGCGCGCTGGTAGTTTTTTGATTGCGCAGTCTGTTTTAGCACCCTTGCGCTTGTGCGCTGGTGGGCCCATGAGACCACTGCGGCGCTAGTGTTCACGGTTGCAGCCTCCCCCAGGGCCATTGAGGTTTTGAAAGTCATGAAACCCAGACCCTTGACTGCTCAGGGCGTCTCGGCCCCGTTGGAATCCCGGCCGCGCCCACTGGTCAGGCGCGTTTGCTCCAGCGGAAGAGTCCAGGTTTGTTACGGTAAATTTCTTTGCCGCTAGTTCCTATAATGTTGGGGCCTCACAACAGGGATAGATTTGGCACTGGGTGCTCGGCTTTCTACTTGGATGTTGGCCGTCGAGCTTGAGGTTTTCGCCGGGCTCGGGATTGACCAGGCGCATGTTTTTCGGTGCTTGGGGAGGCGCCAGCGGCTTAGGATCCGTCTCGTTCCGTTCATGGCCGCCCAGGTGACAAGGGCCCTGCCAGACGGACAGGGAGGCGCGTTTCTGGCAGGCTGCGCTTGGCATAGGATGTTGCTTGAATTTGCGCCAGAGGATTCTCTTGACGTGGCGCCCGCCCTTGATCGGTGCCGCTCTGAGCAGTCCCATGCCGCGATGTCTTGGCTCTCGCAGGAGTACCCCGTTCATGCAACTTCCCGTTTCCAGCTCATGCATAGAATTGCTGTCGATGGTTCGCGGGATCCGCTGGGGGGCTGCGGCGGGCGCCCGAGGAATCCCACCAAAAGGCTTTAAGCGAAGGAGGCCTCTTGGAAGGGCTGGCTCCAGGGGGCGTTTTTCTTTTCCAGTCAGCTGGTCCTGCGCACCGATTGCCGAAACCTCCGTGGAAGCCTCTCCTGAGTAGATGGGCCAGGAGGGGCCTTGCTCCACCCGAGACCAGGTCCTCGATTTTGAGGTTTTGGCGTGGAAGGCGATTTGGCCACATCACGACCTCGGCTGAGTCGTGATCCGCTTTAGCTGCCTTGCCTAAGAGTGCTCGGGGATCCCCGCGTCTGCTTTACATGTATGTGGATATGCTTGATCGCGCGCTCAAGTCCATGCCTGACTCCAAAGGCCAGGGCATCGACCGCATCGAGCCTCGCGGCGCTGCTCGGTCTGCTGCGCGCGCCGCTCTTGAGAAACCGCGAGGCCTTTGTCTCGGAGTGGGGCCGAGTTGCCCGTGGGCCCTAGGGCCTGACTGCGGGTGGCTCTGCCGATGCCGCTGGATGGCCTGAGGATCTCGAAACATGACTTGCTCGATTACGTAGGCGATTTTCAGGTAGGAAGGCTTCTTTCAGACGTGAAGCAATATCTCCGAGGCTTGACTGAAACGGCCGTCGGCTTGAACGACCCACTCCGAGCTATAGTTTTTGCCATAGACATCCACCTTGGAGTTTGACCCTTTTCTCTCGAGGGGGCGCTTCGCCATGGAATCCTGGCCCGCGAAGGCACGCTGGCCGGTTGTGGACAGGCCGCCTCTCTGGCGAGGGCCCGCCTCCACGGGTCCTGGAAGGGCGCATATAATTTAGAAGGGGGCCTTTGGCTACGGGAGTGGGTGGTTGCTGTTCCGGATCGTTTGTTCGGTACGCACACTTCGATCAAGGCCGCCTTCCCTGCCCTTCTCAGAGCCTCGCTCACTGGCCTCAGGGGGCGTCGCTGTCAGCTCCCTGCTGAACAAAAAAACTCGCATCGTTGCGCCGCCGCCTGGCCATAGGGCCGAGTGAGCCAGCGTCGCTCCCAGGGGGCGTCGCGATTTCTCTGTCTCCCTGGCGGCGATGGGGCCTGGGACATGACGCATCTATGGGCGCTGGGAGATCTGCTGCCATCCGGGGGGCTCGGATCTCAAACGGAGAGGGGCGCGACCAGTGAGATGTTCGGCCGTGGGCGACCTTGTAGGGTCGCCAGGGATTCATTGCACCCCTGTGCATCAGTCTGCCACGGTGGCGCGGGCCCCCGAGGTCCACGGAGTTGCCCGCCCATGCTCTAAGTGCTGCGCAGCATGGCGCGAGCAGCCAGTAAAACCCTTCAGCGGGGAGTGCGCACGACTGCGGCCATCCGCTTCACCTTCGGCCTAGGCCTGGACCCGCTTCAGGTTTTCATCCGTCGAGTGTCAAAGCGCGTTTCTCCCGCGCTGCTGGGCGCAATGGGCTTCGGGCACGTCTTGCCAGGCATTGAGAGCCCTCGCTGGCGAGGGTCCGTAGGGGCTGGGCCTGGGTCCGAGGTCCCGTGGCCGCTTTCCAGGCCGCGGTTATGGGGTTTGCCAGGGGTTGCCCGTCCCTTTTTGATTGTGTATCGCCCTTTGGAGAGGAGTGGTGGATGATCCCGGATGGGCGTGGACCCCTGGGCCCGCTCCTGGAAGCCGTCGACGAGTCCGTCGATGTGTTCCCGCGGTGCAAAGCTGCGGGGTACATCGACGGCGGAGGGATCGAGGGGCCTGTTTGTCTGCGCCGCGTCTGGGGGCTTGTAGCGTCGCTCGGAAATTATGACCGACGGGATCTGGCTTCCATGGCTCGGCTCCTTGTCTCGGGCGGCCATTGGTCCGGGGAGCGGTGCCACTTGGCCCAGATATCCCCAGATCCCATCTGTCGCGGGGGCCAACGTGACCCTGGGAGTCCTGGGCATCCGTGGTGGAGTTGCATGCGCAATGCTGCCTCGGATGTCCCAGGCAACTCTGAGGAGCTGGGCTCGTACCCTTGTTTCTATATCCGTGGGCTTGTCCCCCTGCCCTGGTTTCGCCTCCCTCCCCAACCCGTTTCCGCGGATATCCAGGGGCGGCGTTGTCCTGGACCTGGAGGGTTGTGCGCCGCCGATGGCGCGGGGTGTCTGTTTGTCAAGTTCCCAGTCCTTGTTCGTGTCGCCTTTGCTTTTGCCCGACTCTGCCCTGGCAAGGATTTCGATTCGATTTGCGGCGGCACTGGCATGGTCGATTCGGTTCGCCAAGCGGTGCCCCGTGCTGAGTTGGCTGCCGTGATCGAGTGTGTTCGGTGTGTTGATCCGTCCCAGGACCTACAGTTGGTCGCCGACCCTTTCCAATATTGTCCATGTTTTCCTTGCGGGTCGCACGGCCTCGGGGAGGCTTGCCAATTTCGACCCGTAGTGGGAGTTTTGGGGCCTGCTGGAGGCTCGCCCTGGTGCTTTTTGGCTTCCCATGTTCCCAGCCACCTGTTGGAGGACTCCCAAAACTTCGCCCGTGTTGGCGACTATGGATTGGGGCCATGTTGTGTTTATTTCGGTCGTTGGCGAGTTGGCCGGCATTCGTTCGACCGATTGCCAGGTTCCCCCTGATGTTGTGCGGGGCTATAACGAGTTAGTTTCCTTGGCCTACCGCATCATCAAACGTAGCGCAGCGGTTAGTTATCATTGTTTGTTTTGCACTGCGCGCATAACCCACTCGGCCCCTGACCAGACAGCCCATCGACCTTGTGCCTCGCAGGCGTCGGTGGACCGAGCCTGATGTCAGGAGGTCGTCGCACGTTTGGGGTTTCGACTTCGATGTCTGGTCCTGTGGGATGTGCAAGTCTTCAGTCTCCGATGCTGCCCCCTCCTCCCGTGCGCGTTGTGGTCTAGGTGACCTGCTTCTGGAGGTGGAGGTGCGGCGGCGTTGGGGGAGGAAGCGGAGGTTTCGATTAATCGATGGGTCCGGCCCAGGTGCCATCTACCTCCGAAGGACGACGCCCTACGGAGGAGGTTGGCCCGTGACTCGCTGCCTGAGCGTGTCTCGCCCTGGGCGGCTGGGAAGGCTGTCCGCTCCTCCCACATTGTGCGGCAGAAGGGCTCATCTACTTCTTGTGGTGACTGCGGATCGTGTCCCATAGCTCGCCCAGAGACCTTGCGGGAGCCTTGCCCTGCCGCCACTTGGGGGGCCGCACGCTATCACCACCAAGCACCAGCTCGAGGTCTTGCAACGTCTGTGCAAAAGGGCCCCCGCCCTCCAAGATCTCTCGCTGCTGGTTGCACTGGTTGTCCCTCCTTGCCCGTCAACCCCTGCAGCTGTTGCATTCTGGAGTTTGGCTGGCAGCGGTGCGCTGCAGCAAATCCTCGTTGGCCTGCTCGAGCGCCGTGGGCCTTCCTTCGGCTGCGAGGCCGCGGATTCCAGGACCTGCCGAGCCCGCGGGCCGTGCGGGCGGGGACCACCTTGTGGAGAACATGAAATCCGACAGGGGGGTCCCCTCTGGGGAGTTGGCATCGGTGGCCAGCCCGGGCTCCTCCAGGCTCCTGCGGGCCTGGGGAGCCCCCGAGCCCCCGTGTGAGCTTTTCCGTGGCCACCACTCGGTCACCGAGGGCCCGTATGTTTATTGTCTGCGATGCGGTGGAGCAGCATCCACTCGCCAGTCGCCCACGCTGCTGAGCGACTGCCTGGGTCAAGTGACCTGGGCCTCTAGCCGTATCCGCATGACGGCTCTCGCTAATCTCCAGGGCTCCCGCCACCCCCGTACGGGGGTCCCTATCTGCGGGCACGGACCGCCAGGGCCCAGGAGATAGCCATATAGTATAGTTCGTGGCTCTCTTGGGGGCTTGGCCTAGCCGTGCCCCTCAACGAAGTCATCAGTCTGTCCGATCCTCCTCCTCTTCCTCCTCCTCCTCCGCCTCCTCCTCTTTCTCCTCCTCATCTTCCTCCTCCTCATCCTCCTCATCCTCCTCCTCCCCTCGAGGGTGCAGAGGCTCGACCCCCGATCGCCCACTCATCGCCGGCAGTGGCCCGGAAGTCCACCCCGCCCGAAGGCGTGCAGATTCGCTCTCGGGGGCCCGTCGCCGATCTATCGGCGACGTATCGCCGGTTCCAGCTCGATGGTTCTCCCCCCATGAGCCGATCCCCCCCCCAGCGCTGCCCTTTCCCTCCGCCCCCCCCCCTCCCCCACGCGCGCGCGTTCCGCGTCGCGAGGAGCAGCATGCTTCTGTCGCCCTGGCTACCGGTTGGTCTTCTCCGGGAGAGGGGTCGGAGGCTTTCCGCTTCGGCAGGCTGGTGCGAGGGCGTCTCCATACGTGCCTTCTGTGACGTTTGGTACACGGTGTGAGGCACGGCCTCACGCGCCCTGCCCAAAGGGCACGGGCTCACCAGTGTGCCCGACTCCGACGCCTTCGCTTCGCTTCTGTGACGTTTGGGGTCTGCTCTTTCGCGGGGAGGCAGCGTCGTGTCCAGGGACGACGGCGCCCTGCATAGTGCCGAGCCCGCGCGTGTCGACGTCGCCTCGCCTGGTCGTTTGCTCGCCTTCTGCCGACCCCCTCGGCCCTCGGTGCTCTTCGCCTCCCCTTTCGCATCCGCCCCTCCACTCGGGCGCCAGCCTCGGGCGGCCCGCCTCCGCCATCACCCGCCTCTCTCCTGGAGGGGCCCTTGCCGCCCGCGCTTCCCGACTTCCTTCAGAGGAGCGCGGGTTGAGAAAGCGGTAGTTGGCTTCGGGGGAGGGGCCCTCGTCGCCACGGTTGGACGCCGCTCGGGAAATTGGTGCGTTTCGGTCCCGGGAGGGGTCCAGAGACAGATTTTTAGCTGCTGTTGCTTGTTGGAAACATATTGGAACTCTCTTGAGGCGGTTTGGGCGGCCTCGGGGCCTTTACGACGTGTGTTTGTTGCGCATGTCGTGCCTTCTGGGGCCGCTCCAGAGGCAACCCGCCGCAACGAGGGGGGCCCTGAAGCAAAGCTGCCCCATTGGATTTCGAGACATATCACTTTGGACTCTCTCGTCGGCCCTTCTCGAAGCTCCTGGGGCGCACTCGGGAGGATCCTGGGCACTCTGGATTGCTCCAGCAGCCGTGTCGGCCCGTGCTGTGTTGTGCTTGGATCCGAAAGGTTAGTCGAAAACCTCCAGGACACGAGCGCAATCGCCACGCAATGATTTTTGGTCTCTTTGGAGAAGGCCTGGGGGGCACCTCGTAGGCAATTCGGGGCTTCTCGGGCCCGTGCTGCATTCCGTCACCATTGCGGGTCATCCTACGCAGCGTCGGAAATTATGCTGGGAACATCTGGGGCCGCGTTGAAGCCCGTGGAGACTCCTGGCCTGTCGGCCCAGGTATTCGAGGACGGGTCCAAGAATCGTTGCGTGTCGGAGCCGTTTCGCCACCAATGGCCTTTGCATCGGCGGAGCCACGCGCAGGAGCAACGCTACAACGTAGCAGCGGTAACGCAGCAAGAAGGCGAAACCTCCGGGAGTTCACGCAATGACCATCGCTGAAGTGTTTGTAAAGTCGAAGGCGATGGGTCGGTTAGCTTGGCCAGGGGCGACTGGGCGAGCACTGCCAGCGCCTCTTTGCATCTGGCGGCTGGCGTTGGTGGCGGCGTCGTTGGTCAGTTGATAATGCCATTGCTCACGGCATGTTGAATTCTGCCAAGAGGCCCTCTGTAGGGGTACGGGTTCTATGCGACCCGCCAAGTAGGGTTCGTTGCCATGGACTTCTGAACGTGTCTTATTTGAGGCGACGGCCAGCACATAGCATGGTGGCAACGTGTTGACTGACACTGCCCATCCCCCCTTCTCATCCTCCTTCCCCGTTGCGGGCGGGCCGAATCTGTTGACGCGCGTTTGTTATTGTGGAGGTTGTTCATGGTGTTCCACGTAAATCATGCAAGCCGCAGTCCGCTTCTGACGATTTTGTCATTATCCCTAGAGTCCGGCGCCTCCACCTGACAAAGCATCATGGCCACCTTCGCCGATGACCACAAGATCTCGGACCTCGTGGCCAAGGCAGACATCATTCATGATGTGTTTGTGCTCTTTGCTTCATCGCGCATCAGCAGTTGCAAACAATGCGTGGCAATGGCAATGAAGTGTTCCAGCAGCCCTCGAACTGCACTTGCTTGACTACCCGTTCTAATCAACCAGTTGCGCAATTTTCTTGTGCGCGCATGCTTATGTAGCCATCCACACAATCGTGTAATTGTGTACGCGTGATTTTGTTTCGCCTACACATGATCCCCGTCTTGTAGGTGTTCGATTTGTGATTGACATTATACAACATTCCGCTGTGTCACGGCAGCCACTGATACAGTTAGTGACGGCTCGCTGATTGCAGAAGTGTTTTCGGAGTTTGGGTGGATGTGACTGCGGAGCGCTCATGTTGATTACTAGGCGTTCAAGGTCGGCTCGCGTGATTCCGTGGTTCCGGAATGAAAAGGGGACGTAAGGGATCCGGCGAGATCCGGACATACGCGGCCGTACATGGCAGTGCAGTGGTAGGGAACGCAGACGATAATCACGGTGCGATGCCATTTTGTTTGTAGTCCCGTTGCACGTCGTCAATTCTGCCAGTTGTGCATGTTGTCTATGTGTTAGATCGCATTATAACTAATGCTTGCAAGACGCCTGCTGGATGGTTTTCCTTCGAGTACTTCCCGCCCAAGACGGCCGAGGGTGTCGAGAATCTGAAGAAGAGGATCGTGCCCGAGATCTCCAACTCACGCATCCTCTCGTCCTCTGCCTTTATCTCGCCTTGTCTCGCTTTCCTCAACCCCCCAGTCTGCCCCATGCGGAAGTAATGAGGCCTTATGTGATTGCACCCGGGAGGAAGGAGGAAGAGTCGAAGGAGGAGTGTGGGGGAGGAGAAGGAGAAGGAGAAGGAATGATAAGGAGGAGTCCTGTCCCGCGATACTCGAGGGGGGAGGCGATATACGGTACAGGAGCCTGAGGAGGAGCATGGAGGAGGAGGAGGGAGGAGGGAGGAAAAGGGGCAGGGAGGGTGAGGAGGAGGAGGAGCAGCAGCAGGGATGAGAGATGAGAAGGTGGTGGAAGGGGGAGGAACAGAAGGAACAGCAGAGAATAGGGAGTAGAGAGTCAAGCTAGCCAGCTCGAACGAGTCAGCGGTCCCCGCCCGTTCCCAGCCTCCCTCCCATAAATTTACTAAGCGCTGCTGTCACAGCCGGGTATTGGGACCCATGCGCGGCGCAAAGCCGGGAGTTCGCATTTGAGGCTGACTTTCTTTGGCGTTTTGGCGAGGTTAACATGTCGCCGACTCGCCCGCGGCCCCGCTTCCGCGTCCGACGATTCTCGGCCATTGGAACATATACGTGACCAGTGGCGGGCTGCCTTCCGATCCAAGGACTGTTTGAGGGTCGGGGACGACGGCGGGGTGGTGTGGTGTATACTTTTTGTCTCCGTTGCCCGAAGAAACAACGAAACATGTATACACCAGGATCCCGTATACACCATGATCCGCTTTCCTGTGCAAATTTCAGTGCAGGGCCAGAAACAGCGGCGGTGTATAGAGTTCGGTTCCCTAGATTCGGCGAGCGAAACATGTGGGCCGCGCCAACACGGGAACGCCACTGCTAGGCGCCATTTGCAGACGGTTTGGGCGAGAGCGACATTTCGCCCGTTCTCGCGCTATCTCGTTGCCACCTCCGACGGCTCGGAGAGCGAAACAGATGTGCCGCGCCCACGCGGAAACGCCAGTTTCAGGCACATGTTGCATGACGCTCGGACGAGGGTGCAATGTTCACTTGCTCGGACGCGGCCCCGCTTCCCCCGACTGGGCGAGGGAAACGTACACGCCACGCTCAAGCGGCAACTCCGTTTTCAGCCGTACTATGCGCGGCTCTTAGGCGAGAGTTGCATTTCGCCCGTACTTCCGCCCTATTTCGTTGCGAATTGGCGAGCGAAGCGTTTTCGCGCAGGCGGGAGGACCACTTCGCACGATGTGCGCCGCGCCTTGTTATTCATTCTGCGCATTTTGCGACGTCGGCGGCAAAACGCCCGGAATCAAAGGAATCACGCTGAAAAGACATATTTTGTTTCACATTTGTATATACTTACATGTACGTGAACACGTACATACATACACATATTCATCTATACATGTGTTACAACACGTGTAGGTGGGACCAGTTGGGTGCAATCCTTGTCGGCCAGCTGGGTGGCGTTGCTGGTGTACTTCATAACGCGTCGTAGAAAGATGTAGGCAGAGGAAGAGTAGGTTGAGGGAGGAGGAGGGAAAGGGAGGAGAGATGTGGGGGAGGTATGGGGAGAGGCCTAGGGATGAGGAGGGATGGGGGAGACATTTTCACCGCCTTGTCCGCCCCCGCACCTTTCTGGAGGGGCATGATAATGTTGGGGAAGCTTGCGCTTGCGCTTGCCTCTGGCTTCACTCGGCCAGGCCCCGCCACATTTGTTCCCAACCATCCTGTGGTGTTGGGTCCTCGTTTTGAAGAGACGGTCCCCGCGTTCCTCCTCCACTCCTCCTCCTCCTCCCTCCTCCCCCTCCTCCCTGCGTTTCACCCACCCAGTACAGCGTTTCGTGGCCCCATAGGGAGCTCCACCGAAGGCTCCAGTGCCGCCGCCCGCATGCGTCAGCCACACCCAATTCGGCACACCCCTCACACGCTTCGTGGCCCCATAGGGAGCTCCACCGAAGGCCCCAGTGCTGCCGCCCGCATGCGTCAGCCATACCCAATTCGGCACACCCCTCACACGTTTCGTGGCCCCATAGGGAGCTCCACCGAAGGCCCCAGTGCTGCCGCCCGCATGCGTCAGCCACACCCAATTCGGCACACCCCTCACACGTTTCGTGGCCCCATAGGAAGCTCCACCGAAGGCCCCAGTGCCGCCGCCCGAATGCGTCAGCCACACCCAATTCGGCACACCCCTCACACGTTTCGTGGCCCCATAGGGAGCTCCACCGAAGGCCCCAGTGCTGCCGCCCGCATGCGTCAGCCACACCCAATTCGGCACACCCCTCACACGTTTCGTGGCCCCATAGGGAGCTCCACCGAAGGCCCCAGTGCTGCCGCCCGCATGCGTCCCCACACCCATTCGGCACACCCCTCACACGTTTCGTGGCCCCATAGGGAGCTCCACCGAAGGCCCCAGTGCCGCCGCCCGCATGCGTCAGCCACACCCACTTCGACACACCCCTCACACGTTTCGTGGCCCCATAGGGAGCTCCACCGAAGGCCCCAGTGCCGCCGCCCGCATGCGTCAGTCACACCCAATTCGGCACTCCCCTCACACGTTTCGTGGCCCCATAGGGAGCTCCACCGAAGGCCCCAGTGCTGCCGACCGCATGCGTCAGCCACACCCACTTCGACACACCCCTCACACGTTTCGTGGCCCCATAGGGAGCTCCACCGAAGGCCCCAGTGCTGCCGCCCGTATGCGTCAGCCACACCCAATTCTGCATTCCCTTCACGCGTTTCGTGGCCCCATAGGGAGCTCCACCGAAGGCCTTAGTGCTGCCGCCCGCATGCGTCAGCCACACCCAATTCGGCACACCCCTCACACGCCTCGTGGCCCCATAGGGAGCTCCACCGAAGGCCGCAGTGCCGCCGCCCGCATGCGTCAGCCACATCCAATTCGGCACCCCCCTCACACGCTACGTGGCCCCAACCCGCATGCGTCAGCCACACCCATTTCGGCACACCCTTCGCCTGCTTCGTGGCCCCATAGGGAGCTCCACCGAAGGCCCCAGTGCCACCGCTCGCATTCGTCCCGCACACCCATTTCGGCACCTCCACCAAAGACAGCGTTTCGTGGCCCCACAGGGACCTCCACCGAAGGCCCTAGTGCCGCCGCCCGCATGCGTCACCCCCACCCCAGCACAGCATTTCGTGGCCCCACAGGGAGCTCCACCGAAGGCCCCAGTGGTGCCGCCCGCATGCGCCACCCCCACCCAGCACAGCGTTTCGTGGCCCCACAGGGAGCTCCACCGACGGCCCCAGTGGTGCCGCCCGCATGCGTCACCCCCGCCCAGTACAGCGTTTCGTGGCCCCACAGGGACCTCCACCGAAGGCCCCAGTGGTGCCGCCCGCATGCGTCACCTCCACCCAGCACAGCGTTTCGTGGCCCCACCGGGAGCTCCACCGAAAGCGGCACCCGCAATGCGATATTCACAACTGCACATGGTCGGGTCTTTCGCCAGGATAATGTTCTTCCCTCCCACTCCTATCGCTTTGGACCCGCTCTCCTCCAACTCGTTTCGCCCTTTCCTTACATCCAGCTTCTTCCTAATCCTGCGCTACCTCATCATCCCCCCTCCGTACCCTCCCCCTGTGCATTCGACGCGATGGGAGTTTGTGTTTTCTTTTTCGGAGGTTGAAGGGTGAGTCCGACGTGAAACGGAGACCACCCTACCGAGAAATCGATGTCGGTTTCGGGTTCGTGTCGTGCGTGCCGTGCGTGCGTGCGGGCGAGGCGAAGCTGCGTGGGCGGGCGAGAGGAAATTTCCTGTTGCTGGGCCGCGGCCAGACCAAATGTAACTCCTCCAGCGGCCGGTGCCGAACGCAAGGCGCGGCAGGCTGTCATTTCGTCGACACCACAAGAGGTGTGCACAGGGGGTGGGCGCCGTATCCGTCGCAGGCTCGTAAAGTGTGGCCTGCCTGGCACTTTCTCTAGACCGCAGGTGTGGCGCAGGGAGCGGTTGTCGTTTGTCGCGCGCTCGCGAAAAATGGGTTTCCTTCAGAGAGTTGCGCAACGCCGCACCATCGCCAAAGAAGCGCAATGCTCAAATGAACATGGCCAGGGCGGTGTGGGAGGGAGAAGTATCCGTTTCTGGTTTGCAAAGCGTGACGGGCATAGCACTTCCTCGACATCACAGGGGGGTGGTGGGGGTGGTCCCGCTATCCGCTTCAGGCTCGCAAAGCGTGGCAGGCGAGGCACGTCCTCGACACAGGGAGTGCGTTGGGGGTGGTCCCGCTATCCGTTTCAAGCTCGCAAAGCGCGGGAGGTGTGGCACTTCCTCGACACCAGAGGGGGTGCGCTGGGGAGGCTGCCGTTCATCGATGGGTGTTCCATCATTTGGTAAGTTCCAAAGGCGAATCATTGGGAACCCGAGGACGCAGGGCGTCAGAAGCGAGCCCCACGACCTCAACAACGCTCTTCGTGGAATTATGGGAAACCCAGGTCGCCAGAAACCCCTTTGGAGTCTGGCGACCTGTAGGTTTCCCACAATCGTCACCGCCGAAGAATGGGAATCTCAGGTGTCCCCTGAAACCCTGGGGAATCTAGCGGCCTATGGGTTTCCAATATTTCTTGGCGGCGACCGGGGGGCAGGATTTCTTGGGATTGCCAGAATCTGCCCCCGCAGAAAGATCGGAAACCCATAGGTCGCCAGATTCCCGAGGGGGTTCTGGCGACTTATGGTTTTCCCATGATTCGGAATCTGGACTCCCCTCGCCGCCGCGAGTTGTGGGAAACCCATGGGTTGCCAGATTCCTTGGGGAATCTGGCGACCTATGAGTTTCTCGTAATTCGGAACCTGCCCCCGCTCGCCGCCCCCATTTCGCGAGCGAATTTGAATGCGACTGTCCCATGATTGCGCGGCGTCCAGGATTCTGAAATTCCACAGGGCCGTTGGCGTGGGCGAGTTAAGGGAAACCCATCGGTCGCCAAATCCCCTAAGGGTTTTTGGCGGCCGATGGGTTTCTCATAATTCAGAATGTTGAC